AACTTGTTATTGAATACCACAATTTTGTAGTTGTTTACGATAATTTATAGTTGATTATCGAAAAATATGAAATAATCTTTTTTTGAAATAATTAAATTGTGATTGCGTTAGAAAATATTATAGATGATTTTGGAAATATTATAGTTGTCTTTGGAAATATTGTAGATGATTTGAGATTTTTTCTAGTTAATTATGGAAAGAAAAATACAGATTTTTATTTTTTATTTATATATATTTATTTTTAGTATTTTATTTTTTAATATTTTTTTAAATAAATAAATGAAAAAAAAAATTTAAAAGAAAAATACAATAAAATAGTGGGTCATACTGAATAGAGGGATGATAAATTTGGGAATAAATGGAGGGATGCGTCTAGGGGTGGAAATCGGAACGAAATTTCCGACATCCGCCGAATCCAATCCGAATAATTCCGATTTTGGAACGATTTTTTCACTTACGAATTCGAAATTCCGATTTCTGAAATTTCGAAAAAAATGAGATCATAATTGAAAATACATATCAAAATTTTGGAATTTTCGAATTCCGATCCGAATATAATTTCGAAATTTCCGACAATATTTTAGAAATTTTCCCATTTTTTACGAAATTATTGCATATTTATTAATTATATTGTAGTTTTGTTTTCCATTCACTACTTCTTCAGTTTCGAGAAAGCCTATCTCATATTTAAAAAGAATAGGTCTGCAGCCTATTTAGCAAACTACGAAGTCACCAAACTCTATGTTTAAAACTATGTTTAAAATTTTAAAGGACTAAACATTAAATATCAAAACACTAATTTTCTTTCTTTTCTTCTCCTGCCTTTCAACCTCACACCGTCTTCTTTCGCCGCCTCCCTTTTTCTCTGTATTTTTCTTCGATTTTCTTGTCGAGATCCACCCGTTCAATCCTTTCACCAGCATTTTCAAGATTTGAAACATTCTTTGCGGAAAAGGGTGTCTTTGGAATAGGAAATGAGTTTGCTCTCAAAATCGCTTCATCGTCGTTGCTCCGTTGCGGAAAAGCAACAAAGTCGCCGTAAACCACCAAGTCACCGCTAATTCTGAAAATTCCGACCGAAAATTTTGGAATTGGAATCGGAATGAGTTTGTCTATTCCGATTTTTTTGGAATCGGATTTTGAACTGCCTTTTGACTTCCAAAAATAATCGGATTTTTTCCGAACCGGTGGTTTCCGATCTGATCCGTCCGATCTCCACTCCCAGATGAGCCTATCACTAATAACTGAAAAGAGACTGAACTCAACCTTATTAAAAAAATGATAGAAGGGTTCCCACTAATAGCCCCTAAGATATATGACGATATAAAATGATAAAATTAATTTGAGGGGTTCTTTGATATAACCCCTTAATACTTCTTTTAATAGGAAGATGCCAAACTATTTTACACCATTTGAGAAAAACCCACTCCTAATTTTCGACCAACCATTTTCCAAATATGCCCCGGCCACCTTATCAGCACTATCACCTACTATGCGGCTACTGCATCAACCATTTTTTTTTCGTTTTTTAACTATTTTTTCTCTATCAGGTATATTAATCGACTATGAAGCATATTAATCGACTATGATGAAGCATACTCGATTAAAGAACTCACTACTAAAAATTAAAAAAACACAACTACATAAAAACGAAAATCAACATTTTTTTTACAAAACAAATAATATACATAAATTGTAATTGATTTATACAAATCGGAATGAATACACAAAACTTCAACAATGAATTAAAGATGAAATCAAGTAACCTTACCCGACTACCAAAACAGTCGATTAACACTTTAATCGACTATCGGAGCATAGTCGATTAAAGGTCTAACATGCGCAAATTTCTCTACCCGCATCGTCCTATGCTTAATCCACAAAAAAACCTTAGATTTGCCTCCCCATCGTCACCATACCGCCGCCACACCACACCATCACCACCCCCACTTCGATATTCTGACATTTTTTTATAACAAATAAAGTAAATCACAACCCGCACCCACCAAACAATGCAGAACCACAAGCCATAAAAGTCCGATCTCGGCTACAAATCGACGAAAAAGTCATCTTCCTCGCACTCGTTCTGCCAACACGTAGTGAAAAAAGTCATCTCCAAGACAAGGAGAATCGGAGTCGTGAAAAGAGAGAAAAATATCTGAGAAGAAGAGAGAAGAGGCGTGAAAAGAAGAAGAGAGAGAAAAGACGTGAAAAGAAGAGGAGAGAAATTAATGATAAATGAGATTAGGGTTCTTCAAGGGTATACTAGACAATTAAAATTTGTTAGGAGGGTCAGTTGAAAGGAGAAGGAGTTTTCGCTAATTACTTTTGGGAGGGAGTTTTTCCTTAATTATGTTTCCTAAATGAGGGGTCTTGCTAATTTTCCCTTAATTTTATTGGCTAAGTAGATATTTTTTCAATCTACTTAGGGCCTTAGAGGTTAAATGAGATAGCCCCTTGTACAATTTCCTTAGAGGCATAAATCTATTTTTTTATCCACTATTAGAGATACTCCCTCACTTAGCATAATATCCCTTTTACCCCTATTATATTCATAGAAATATAATTAAACTATTTTTAAATAATTAAATCCCGCTACTTTAGAGTTCACTACTAATCTCTCTCCAAAAAATAACTCCCCTGAAATCTCGTATATAGAAATCCAATATCTCGTATACAGAAATCAAATATTTTTTTTTTCAGAAAAAATGTTTTTTTTTTTTAATTTCAATCAAATGGTGTTCTTTTATTTAACTTCATTTTTATTTTGGAGTTTTTTCAATTAAAAAAAATTAGATAATCCAGATTTTTTTATAAATATTTTTATTTTTTTAATTTTGACTTTTAATTTTTTAATTTTGATTTTTAATTTTAAATTTTTTTTACTTATGTTTTCACATTTCGATTTAAATTTTTTTTTTAACAAATTGAAATCCACTATAAACTTATCAAAAACCACTATATAATTAACGAACATCACTATGCAATTAACGAAAACCACTATGTAATTATGCCCCGTTTGCTTAATGTTATTAAGCTTTATTAACTAAATAGTAGGGGTTAGTAAGATGTTTGCTTGATGAGATTCGTATTTAATCAAGCCCGCTACTACACTTAAAGTCCGCAACTAAATGCTATTATTGGTTAAATTAGTAACACCCCTACCCCTGTGATTAATTTTGTAGGGGCAGATTAAAAGAGGACAATTTTGTCCTTAAAATAATATCTTAATTTTATTAATTCAAAGACTTTTTAGACAATTCACATTTAATACCGGAATTTAACAAATTTAATGCAAGATTCAATCTAACGAATCAAACATCTAACTTTAGTCAATGGAATATTAATTGAGTCTCAACTAATTCAACGTAATCCGATGTAATCCGATATAGGTAAGCAAACGAGGCCTTAATGTATTCCATTACGAAAATCCACTACAAATATATCAAAATCCACTATGTAAATAATGTAACTAACAACGAAAATGCACTACAACTATCAAAATCCACAACGAAAATTACCGGAAATCCACTACGAAATTATTGATATCCACTATGAAATTACAGAAATTCAATACAAAATTTTAGTAGCGAACTCTATAAATATAGATATGCAAATCACTGGAACAAAAAAAGTACAATGTGCTTAACAAAAAACCAAAACGCCTACTCATATCTAACAAAAACTAATATAAAAAATCAACATCAGCGAAAACCAAGTAAGAATTCTAACAAAACTACTACCGCTACTACTACAAAAAAAAAATCGCTACTACAAAAAAAAAATCAAATTCAATTCCGAGGCTATACAGTCGCAAATTGATGTGCAAAGCTATTGAACTACGGATGCTTCATTATAATGCTCAATGTTTCATACTCGAAAATCGGAATCAATGTAAGCCACGAACTAACTTTTGTATTTCTCTGTGTCACAAAGCGAGATGAGCGTAATTAATTACTCAATAAGCATGTCACATGACCAGCAAAATTTGAATTGTAAAGGGATATACGTGAACACAACAAAGGGGATACGTGAACACAACAATAGGAAACAAAATAAACTAGAACTTCAGAATTTTCAGAATTGGAAGGAAATGTTAGAAGCGTGTAAATTAACTAGAAACCAATGATCATCGGATAGGAAGTGCGCTAACACAAATCAAATAGATCGCGAACGAACGATTCCATATGATAATGAATATGCCGACCAAAATTTACAATCAATAAACACAAAGAAAAGTGACACCTGCCTTTGCCCTCATGTAGTCGGCTGGGAAACTCCGTTGGTTCTCTAACTCCCGCTATCGATCTGTACAGCGGTAGCCGAAATCTTTGCTGGAGGCACACCAATTAGTGAGGAAACCCTAACTACTATTCGCTCATGAAGCAGCTGTTGAACGAGAAAAAATAAAAAAGAGGCAATGGAGAAAAAAGAGAAGGGCAGAAGAGCAACGACGGAGATGGGAGGAAAGAAATCCCGGACAAAGATCTGCTCGACGGCTATACTATTATAGTACTCTGTATACAATGTCTCGTCGTCAGAAAAATATCGATCGAGAGAGAGGGAGAGAAAACTGATGTGATTAGAATTAAAAGGTGTTGGATACGAGTTTGGTAAGGGTATAATCGTACTATATAATAACTGTAAAAAGCATTTGGGGGGTTTTTCTCAAATAATCTCATCTAGTTATCTTATTTACACCTTACCCATTTTATTCATTTTTCTAATTTCATATCATTTATCATTTCAACGAGACTGAATTGGGTTTGACATGAATACAAGACAAAGTTGGGGTTGTAGAGAATATCTAGCTATCTATGGATCTACTGTGTTCGCCAAAATATCTCATTCGTTTACTCTTCAAACAATGGCCAGACCTTTAATCAAAATTCAAAATAGCCCCAAAATCTTCACTAAATTGCACATCTACCCCTAATTCCTCCCAGTCTCACCTCAAAATCGCAACCGTCCATTTCAACCCTATATAAACCCTTCACCTATCCCTTCATTTTTCCTCCTCCTCTCTCTTCTCTGCAAAGCAAAACCCCAAATCTCAGATCTAAAACCAAAAAAATGGCGCTCGTAGTAGAGAAGACAACCTCCGGCCGTGAGTACAAGGTCAAGGACATGTCCCAGGCGGACTTCGGCCGACTCGAGCTCGAACTCGCCGAGGTCGAGATGCCGGGACTCATGTCCTGCCGCACCGAGTTCGGCCCGTCTCAGCCGTTCAAGGGCGCCAGGATCACCGGCAGCCTCCACATGACGATCCAGACCGCCGTCCTCATCGAAACCCTAACCGCACTCGGCGCCGAGGTGAGGTGGTGCTCCTGCAACATCTTCTCCACCCAGGACCACGCCGCCGCCGCCATCGCCCGCGACAGCGCCGCCGTGTTCGCCTGGAAGGGGGAGACGCTCCAGGAGTACTGGTGGTGCACGGAGCGCGCCCTCGACTGGGGCCCCGGCGGCGGCCCCGATCTGATCGTGGACGACGGCGGCGACGCCACCCTGCTGATCCACGAGGGCGTGAAGGCCGAGGAGGAGTTCGAGAAGTCCGGGAAGGTGCCCGACCCGAGCTCCACCGACAACGCCGAGTTCCAGATTGTGCTGACAATTATCAGAGATGGTTTGAAGGAGGACCCTAAGAAGTATCACAAGATGAAGGAGAGATTGGTCGGAGTTTCGGAGGAAACCACCACCGGAGTTAAGAGGTTGTACCAGATGCAGCTCAACGGCACTCTGCTCTTCCCGGCTATCAATGTCAACGACTCTGTCACCAAGAGCAAGGTACATTTATATTTCCTTAAATTAATCTTTATTTGATTTACTATTTCTATTTAATTTTAATAATATGTAAGTTTTTAATTGAATTTGATGAGTTAGTTAATATATATTTTTAAAAAAATGATGATTCATTTGATGTTTGTGGATGGTGTATATGAGTTTTATTGGGACATCAAAACACTATATAGCAAGAAGCAAAATGTATACTTTATGCACCCTTTGATTCTTGCAACCGCATACATCAAATGATTCATTATTTTCAACGTATTTTAACTTAATTTTTTTGAAGTTAACCCGAACCAATACATACTAAGATTAAAATGTCTTTAATAGCAATTTGAATGGCTTAAATAATTATTTTCTACATATATTAAATCAATTTTTTTAAGTTAATCTTAATCTACACTAAGATCAAAGTTGGTTGGCATTTTGGTGCCCCACCACTTTGGATGCAAAAATGCATCACAACGTTCCTACTAAATTGATAAACATGTGACATTTCAAAATTCAACAAACTAAATATTTACAAATGATGTTTGCGCATTTGAATTGGGCTAAATGTCAAAATAGTACATCAAACAACAATTTGATGTTTGCTAATTGGATTTTGAAGTGCACATATCATCTTGTGAGAGGATTTTTCGGTAGTTACATAGGAACACTTGATGCTTTTCTTTACGAATGCATTATTGGGTGTTAATTTTTCAAATAATAAAAACAAACGAAACTTTAAAATTTTTGTGAATAGAAGTTGTTACAAAAGTAACTGATTTTCACACTACAGATCCAGACTGTGGAGCAGTCATGCACATTAAATTTTCATTTTGTAATTGGTCAACTCCGAGTCTTCTGAAAAGAAAATTAGCGCTATTTATTTTTCCTACTTTAAGATGTTTGTTTAAAGAATAAAAATTCATAGAAGTGGCATTCTCTTTCTTCTACCATCAATGTAAATGCAATTTTTAGTACATAATTACTTGATATCCTACAAGTAAAATATGGATAATTGTGTATTCTTAATGAATCTTAATTTACCGTTCATGCCTTTCCCTCAATAAAAGGGAAATATGTAGATCACTAACTAACTTATCTAGATAAAACAAGCAAAAAATATATATGTCGTAACACCAAAACTAATCCGTTTTTTTTCCTCCCTTTTTGCTTGTACCAGTTTGACAACTTGTACGGGTGCCGCCACTCACTCCCCGACGGTCTCATGAGAGCCACCGATGTCATGATTGCCGGAAAGGTCGGCGTAGTCTGCGGCTACGGAGACGTCGGAAAGGGTTGTGCAATCTCCCTCAAACAAGCCGGGGCCCGCGTGATTGTGACCGAGATCGACCCCATCTGCGCACTGCAAGCCCTCATGGAAGGCTTCCAAGTCCTCACCCTAGAGGATGTTGTCTCCGAAGCCGACATCTTCGTCACCACCACCGGAAACAAAGACATCATAATGGTCGACCACATGAGGAAGATGAAGAACAACGCAATCGTCTGCAACATCGGCCATTTCGACAACGAGATCGACATGCACGGTCTCGAGACTTACCCCGGAGTGAAAAGAATCACGATCAAGCCACAAACCGACCGATGGGTTTTCCCAGAGACCAAAACGGGTATTATCATTTTGGCAGAGGGGCGTTTGATGAATTTGGGTTGTGCAACGGGTCATCCGAGTTTTGTGATGTCGTGCTCGTTCACCAACCAGGTGATCGCGCAGTTGGAGCTCTGGAACGAGAGGAAGAGTGGCAAGTATGGGAAGGAGGTTTACGTGTTGCCCAAGCATCTTGATGAGAAAGTTGCAGCGCTTCATCTTGGAAAGCTTGGTGCTAAGCTGACTAAGCTTACTAAGGAGCAGTCCGATTATATTAGCATTCCTGTTGAGGGTCCGTACAAGCCACCTCACTACAGGTACTGAGGGGTTGATTTGTGATTTTAGGGTTTGAGATTGTTTCTTGATTTTGTGTTGGTCTTTTTGTGATGGCAGTTTGGTTTATTTGTTGCACTCTTATTGTTTTTGCATTAGCAGTAACTTAAATGTGAGGATTATTATTATGTTGTTTGTTTTGTATTTGCTTTTGCGACTTTTCGTGGGAGCTACTTGTCATTGGTTGAACTCATTATTTCCCTAAATTATATGTATTGTACCACTTTTGTCTTCTCCCCTACACCCGGTGATGTAGATTTTTCCTAACGAAACGTAGATTTTCTGAAGTTGAATTCTGATTCGAACTTTCTGAATCAAAATGAACGTGTTAATAGGAAAACAGTGGCTGTAGGGTTGAAGAAGACAGGTTAAGTTGGTTTCTTATTTAAGCAACTCTTGCCAGAAGCATATTTTGGTGCACGATTTTAACAAATCCTGCACGTGCGTGTGTTTAATAGATAATTATATATATGCGTCTTTTTTTTTCGTTGGATTTTTAGCAATATTTGAACTTCGATTATAAAGTTCTGAACCTAATAACAAACTTGAGGACCTTCCAAGATTTTTAAGACCAATGAGAATCTGTAGCTAATTGCTTGAAACACACCTATTTGTTTGAAATCAGTATCCAATAGTGTTATATATGCTTTAACCCTTATCATTTTAGTCTTTTGGACAAATTACGGCCACCCCTGAGTTATGGCAAAATGAAAAACCATTCCTCCTCTTTGGGTAATTACAGTCACCCTTCAACTATGTATTGCGTTACGAAAAAACCCCTCTAGAGATAAATTTAGGGATGTTAAATCTGTTAAACCGAACCGAAATTTCGGTACGCCAATATTTCATACCGTTTACCTAATTGAATATACGATATAGTTCGGTAAATAATTGAATTACATATATTTTATGTAAAAGTATTTAAAATGAGGGGTGGTTGTAATTATCCAAACAAGAGGGGTGTTTTTGTAATTTGACCATACCTCAAGGGTAACCGTAATTTGCCCTATTCTTTCAAAAGCAATTGGGGTTAAGAAAGGTGGCGTTGTAAACGTACATTTTAGTTTACATGTGCTAAGCATTCCATAAATACAGGCAAGAGCAAGAGCAATTATCTTAAACCCAAACTGGCTAACCTTATTTTAAACAGCTGATAAACTCTTACGTTTGATAAGATCTTTTTAGAGCTGATAAACCGTTACATCTTATTTTTAGGATTAATTTTTAGAATGTTTGGATAATGGGCTTATTTCCTATTTTTACTTATTATAAGACTTTAAATAAAAATGTGGGGTAGAGGTACTTATTTAAAAATATCTTATTTGCTCTCCAACAACTTATTTTAAAAAAAATTAAGATTTTTTTCTAAAAATTTACCAAACACTTAGTTCCTAAGCTTAAATACAGGCCCACTTTTTAATATTTGGAAGGGAAATTTCTGAAAAACTGCCCCATCTATTAGTAATTTCCATAATCCCCGACTTTTATTTCTGTCTTACACCGACCTCCTCTTACCGTGTAATATTTCACGAAATCCTTTTAACTCCATGGATATATTTTTCGGAAAATGTCAATTTTACTCTTTGAAGACAAAAGTAACACTTAGAGGGGTAATGGTAATAATAAAAAGTTGTGTATGCGGTACTTAAAAAAATAAAAAATTAAGTCACCATTGGAATAATTTGTCTTTAAAAAATAGCATAAAAAAATACCACTGCAGGATTGAAATCAACATTTTTGGGGAAATATTCACTCGAATCAAAAAGATTTCGTGAAAAAAGTACACCTTGAGGGGGTCGGTGTATGACGGATACAAACATCGGGGGTTTTAGTAATTACGGATATGTAGAGGTGTTTTTCATAATTTAGCTTATGTTCAGGGGAATTTTCATAATTTACCCTAGATTGAATGAAATGCAAAAAAACATATATTAAAATTTTCCATCACAAACACCACAACGGAAACATTTCTTGGTACTATATAATATATCATTTCACCGAAAAAAAAACAGATGCCAGAAAGCAAATACAATATAGCCGTAGCAAAATACACTTCGATAAAAAAAAAAAAAAAAAAACCGGACGACCCGATTGCTATCGAACTTATTTCGGTCATCAAACGAACTCCCAAATCACTAAACATGATTCAAGGAAAGGAAAAAAAAAAATAGAAAACAAATAACACGGATCGAAGTATATAAATAAATTCTCTTCCAAATTCGACATTTTATCGTCTCAGTACCTGTAGTGAGGTGGCTTGTAAGGACCCTCGACAGGAATGCTAACGTAATCGGACTGATCCTTAGTAAGCTTAGTCAGCTTAGCACCAAGCTTTCCGAGATGAAGCGCCGCAACTTTCTCGTCAAGATGCTTCGGCAACACGTAAACCTCCTTCCCATACTTGCCACTCTTCCTTTCGTTCCAGAGCTCCAACTGTGCGATCACCTGGTTGGTGAACGAGCACGACATCACAAAACTAGGATGACCCGTCGCACAACCCAAGTTCATCAGGCGACCCTCCGCCAGAATGATAATACCCGATTTGGTGTCGGGGAAAACCCATCGGTCGGTTTGTGGCTTGATCGTGATTCTCTTCACTCCGGGGAAAGTCTCGAGGCCGTGCATGTCGATCTCGTTGTCAAAGTGGCCGATGTTGCAGACGATTGCGTTGTTCTTCATCTTCCTCATGTGGTCGACCATTATGATATCCTTGTTTCCGGTGGTGGTGACGAAGATGTCGGCTTCGGAGAGGACATCCTCTAGGGTGAGGACTTGGAACCCTTCCATGAGGGCTTGCAGCGCGCAGATGGGGTCGATCTCGGTCACGATCACGCGGGCCCCAGCTTGTTTGAGGGAGATTGCGCAACCCTTTCCGACGTCTCCGTAACCGCAGACCACGCCGACCTTTCCGGCGATCATGACGTCGGTGGCTCTCATGAGACCGTCGGGGAGTGAGTGGCGGCACCCGTACAAGTTGTCGAACTGGTGGAAATGGAACGGGAGTTAGGGGCGTTATTGGTAATTCACATAAATATGTATGTAACCAACCAATTCTTGGAGCAAAAAGTGCAATTTTATCTCAATATGAATGAATATGCCTCATTTGATTCATAATATGAGATTAAATAATAATATCATGAAAACCCAAATTGTATTGTTAGAGCATGATTAATCATAATTAGCTAATCTTAACCACCAAAACGGTTACGGGTGAAAATCGGACGAAATGGATCGGAAATAGCTTTTTCGAAAAATTTCCAATTATTTTCGGAACTAAAGTATGGGTTCCAATTTCCGTTGCAAAAAAAAATCATTCCAATTTTGGATTGCCTCGTAATTGGTGGAATTTTGGAAATTACATTAGTTTATGATCTCTTGTTTCAAATTCGGATATAATGGAAATATCTGAAATCGAAACTTGGGAAATCAGAATGAACAATACGTTTCCGGATATTCTCGGATCGGAATTGGCGGAATTCGGAAATTCCATTCCGATTTCCACCCCTAATTATGGTAAAACATGTCAGATCTAGATTCAATTTTCAGGACTACGATTATTAGATCTAAAGCTGGAAAAGCAATATCAAAGATGAGAGAGAGAGAGAGAGAGAGAGAGAGAGAGAGAGAGAGAGAGAGAGAGAGAGAGAGAGAGAGAGAGAGAGAGAGAGAGAGAGAGATAGAGAGAGAGAGAGAGAGAGAGAGAGAGAGAGAGAGAGAGAGAGAGAGAGAGAGAGAGAGAGAGAGAGAGATGTATGTATACCTTGCTCTTGGTGACGGAGTCGTTGACGTTGATAGCAGGGAAGAGCAGAGTGCCGTTGAGCTGCATCTGGTACAACCTCTTAACTCCGGTGGTGGTTTCCTCCGAAACTCCGACCAATCTCTCCTTCATCTTGGCGTACCTTTTGGGGTCGGTTTTAAGCCCGTCTCTGATGATCGTCAGAACAATCTGGAACTCGGCATTGTCGGTGGAGCTCGGGTCGGGCAATTTGCCGGTCTTCTCGAACTCCTCCTCGGCCTTCACGCCCTCGTGGATCAGCAGGGTGGCGTCGCCGCCGTCGTCCACGATCAGATCGGGGCCGCCGCCGGGGCCCCAGTCGAGGGCGCGCTCCGTGCACCACCAGTACTCCTGGAGGGTCTCCCCCTTCCAGGCGAACACGGCGGCGCTGTCGCGGGCGATGGCGGCGGCGGCGTGGTCCTGGGTGGAGAAGATGTTGCAGGAGCACCACCTCACCTCGGCGCCGAGGGCGGTTAGGGTTTCGATGAGGACGGCGGTCTGGATCGTCATGTGGAGGCTGCCGGTGATCCTGGCGCCCTTGAACGGCTGAGACGGGCCGAACTCGGTGCGGCAGGACATGAGTCCCGGCATCTCGACCTCGGCGAGTTCGAGCTCGAGTCGGCCGAAATCGGCCTGAGTCATGTCCTTGACCTTGTACTCGCGGCCGGAGGTTGTCTTCTCCACTAGTAGCGCCATTATGGAAATTGGGGAATGGAAACTCGGGGTTTGAACTGCACGCGCTGTTCTTGGGGAGTGGGGGTGAGAAAGAAGAAGGGATCGTAAGGCAAGTGTAGACAATGCTTGGGGGAGAGGTATAAATAGAGTTTAATGGTTGAAAATGGACGGCTCAGATTAAAGAGGGTTTGGTGGATCTGAGATTTGGGTAAATGGCTGTGGTGGGTGGTGGGGAGAGAGTGGGGTTTGCTAGCTGTTATTGTGAACACATTATGAGGTTCTATTTACTATTTTTGTATTTTCTTTTATTTTTATTTTTATTTTTTACGAATATTATATTACTGTTTAGTAGTTAAATGAGAACTTTTGGAATCAATTTCATTTCATTTTAACAGTATAGGGGAAAATAGGTTCCTTCGATCCTACACCCGGTGAAAAACACCGGGTAGGTCTTCTGCTGGCACGTGTTCTTTTTTTTATTTTTCTAAAACCCCTAAAGGTAAACCCTAGCGGGGAATCTATTATAAAATTCAAAAAAGAGATACGTGGCAGCAGAAGACCCACCCGGTGTTTTTCACCGGGTGTAGGGTCGAACAAATCGGGAAAATAGCTCGAGAGCAAAATAATAGCGTTTTTGGTTTGAGTTTTAAATTTTTAGAAGATAATTTTATATTTGTAGCATTTGAATTATGTTTGAGCATGTAATTTAAAATTAGATGAAGTTTTTTTGAATTGATTACTAAAGAACTTATGCATAGTAATGAAATAACCCAATGAGACTTTTACTCCTGAAGTGGTTACTGAGATTATTAAGATTAATATTTCTCCTTGTTCCCACTCCCAAAAGCCTTTTCTGGGCTCCCTCCATGTCAGGGAACTTTTTCGTTAAAAGTGCTTATCTCACTGATAACTCCCTTCGTTTTTCTCATTCTCGCCCTTACCTTTTTCCTTTGAAAAGCCTCTGGAGTGCTAACTTACATAATAGACACAAATTGTTGTTATGGAAAATTATTAACGATGCCTTCCCGATTTCTGCCAAGTTAAATTCTTTTTTTCCTGCTTCTAATATCCTTTGATCTTTGTGTAGATCTGAGGTTGAATCTATTGACCATCTTTTTCTTAAATGCCCGTTTTTTGCCCATCTTTGGTTCATCTCTAAATGGAACTTTCGTATTGAGCCTTTTAGAAATGAACCAATTAAAATGTGGCTTGAACTTGTTCTTAAGAAAAATGGAAAACTATTCTCTTCTGAGCTTATGAGAAAAGAATTCCTTGTTTTTGTTGCAGTTACTTTTGATCTTATTTGGAGAAAAAGAAATGATATCATTCACAGCCCAATTGCTTCTATTAATTTGGTTGATTTGTCTTCCATACAGGATTTGTCAAAAAAATTGGAAGTTTGGCTAGCTCCCATTAGAAAAGTCAGCTCTCCAAAATCACCACCGCCGGCAATTACATTTCGCATTCCTGGAAAGCTCCGGCTCAAAATCAACTCAGACAGCAAATTTGTTGATGGATCTGCTCAGATTGCTTTTGTGATTAGGAACAACAATGGCTCTACACTTTTTGCATACTCAATGGAATATAAATGCCTCGATTCTCTTGCTGCTGAATCTCTTGCAATTAAAAGTGCGTGTCTGTTCATTCAAAATGCAAAGGTGGATAATGTGATTTTCGAATTGGATTGCCTAAACGCCATTACTTACACTACTGATCTTTCCTCGACCATTCAATGGAGTGCGAAAATTCTCATTAGGGAAATCAAACATTATTGGTCTCTCTGGCCGAAATGGAGATTCAAGTTTTGTTCTCGTAATGCAAATTTTGCTGCACACAATATTGCTCAATGGGCAGCTTCTTTGCATTGGAACGGTTCTATCCCTCTATCTTCGCTTCCTTGTAATTGCTTTTGTGATGGGGGTTATCCCATTGTTTACATTTGCCCCGCTTTTAATTAATATATCTCTTATCAAAAAAAAAAAAAAAAAAAGAGTTCCGCTAGATGATTTAGCGATTGGAGCAAGTGAGACTGTGTCAATTGACTTAGGTTCGAATCCTCTTAATTTTTCGCATGTGGTGTACCTAATGTTGTTTACATCTCCCGTATCATTTGCAAGTTATTATATGAGAGTGTGCAGTACACCTAAATGGTTGGTTGCGTGTTCATTCATTAAAAAATAAATTTAAAAAAAAAAAAACAAGTGAAGAGAATCAAAAGCTTTCTAAGCATTAATACATATGTATTTTTTTTATAATGTTACAAGAAATAGCTAAATCGAGTATGATGTTATTTCAACTTAGTAGTTTGTCTAGTATATTTTATTGGCAATAGTATTAACAAAACAATTTCTAACGATTTAGAAGAAACATGTCACGAGAAATTTCATCGACGACGCGTGGGTTGGTCTTTGCCTTTTAATTTAGTTTTATAAACATTACACACCCGCATTCAAGTTGTTACAAATTTATTACAAAACTCGATTGCTTAAGTTTATTTTAAACATCTGATAAATTTTTCCATCTAAATTAGTTGATTTAAAAGTTGATAAGCTCTTATGTTTTATTTTTAGAATTAATTTTTAAAGTGTTTGAATAATGATATTATAAGCTATTTTTACTCATTATAAGATAATCAATAAAAATGTGGGATAAAGATATGTTGGAATTTGGGTTTTGGGTTTACATTTTCAACCATTCAAGGCGGATATATTGGAATTTGGGTTTTGGGTTTATGGTTGACATATTATATTATATTATTTTTTATTTTATTTTTCTACCGAAAGGGAATCGATCTATTGTATTGGTCAAAGAAAAAGATATTTGTGGCTTTAAGAAATACTTGGAAGTTCCTTAAGTGATGTCCATGAAGAATATGCTATTATTAAGGGAACAAACAAACATAAGTAATGTTACCTTAAATTAAGGCAAACCGTGGCTCAGGATTCGGGTTTTCGGGTTTCGGTTTTTACCTGCAGTATTTGACCTTTTTATTTCCTCGAAAAAAAAAACAGCTTTTTATTTATATTTTATGTTTCATAAAAATATTTTTATATAACTTTGATCTATATGTTTAATCTAACATAACATTTAGTTGCCTCTATTAAGTTATATTAACTATTAACTATAGTAGGAGTTAACAAATTTATTCAATTGACAAAATTCAACATATCCCAAGTTAACGGTTTTATCTATCCTACACCCGGTGAAGGTTACACCGGGTGATTTTTCACCGTTGATCTACACACACCAATGTGGGTGTGTGTGTGTTTGTGTGTATATTAATGGTAAAGATCTACCCGGTGTATTTCACCCGGTGTAGGATCTCAAAAGCCCAAGTTAACAATTAGAGTTGAAGCTCGTTACCAAATACTACTCCGTCTGTCCAATATTATTTGTTTATTTGGAGTTCTTTTTTTCTAAATTATTTGTCACTTTAGAATTTCAATAAAACATTAATTGCACTTGTATTAATTTTAGGGTAAATTTCACTTTACCCCCTTGTACTCTGCCCAAGAACCACTTTACCCCCTCGTACTCTTAATTTCGTCGATTTACCCCCTTGTACTTGTACAATTTCCCAATATAACCCTCTTCGTCAACTTTTTTCGATTTTGACTCTGACGCCATTTGGCCAAGAGTCAAAATATTGACGTAAATATTGAATTTTTTCGATTTTGACTCTCGAGATTAGAAAAGAGAAAGTTTCACACATTCATATATTTTTTTTCTTTGCACTGGGTGGAATCGATCAATTTTTGGGTCTTGATTTTTACTAAGTTAGGGGTTCAATTTGGGGATATCTTGGAAGAGGAAGTGGTGGAAGAAGAAGCAATGACAATATTGATGGAAGAGAAACGATGCGTTATAGGCAGTGGCAATTTTGTAATTTACAGAGTTGACTAAACGGCGTCAGAGTCAAAATTGTCAAAAGTTGAAGGAAAGGGCTGTATTGGAAAATTGTACAAGTACAAGGGGGTAAATCGATGAAATTGAGAGTACGAGGGGGTAAAGTGGTTTTCAGGTAGAGTACGAGGGGGTAAAGTGGAATTTACCCTTAATTTTACCACTTATCACTCTTAATTAGTTAGTTGAAAAACAATTAATTACAAAATTATTTTAGTATTTACTGTGTCTTTTTGGTACAATGTATGCTGATCCGGCTGGACTCGTGGTGGGCTGGTTTAGAAAGTTGAGTAGGCCTGAACTTGGACCGGAGCCTACGATAAACCTACAAGAAAGAAAAGAACCGGACTTAGGCCGGAGTTAGCACTCCGACGGCCAAGTCAGTAACTTCCTGAAGAAGATATTATGCTTCTGTATGTAATTGATGTATATGATTTCGTTGTGGTTTTCCTGTATTTACTGCCCCTATTTATACTAAAGAAAGGGACGGACGTCAAATATTCTTCAATTTAATTTACCTGTCCCATCGCGGTAATTATGCATCCGGACCCCAAATTACCTTCAATTCAGTTTAATCTGTCATTTCATTGGCGGCTGCAGGTGCAAAAAGTAGGGGGGCGAAACGACATTCCCCTGCTCTTGTCAGTGGATTGGACGTGCATTAAATACCCCATGTGCAGCAATGATCATCTCCGGCAGGTCTGGCGAGAAGCTTGGCGGAAGGGTGAGTTAGCGAGAGGCTTCTCGCTCTCGCGGGCTACCCGCGACCCGCTGGTCTCTTTCGCCTATCGAGTACCAATTTAATGGGTCTTCTTCTCTTAGTGGGCTTAATGGTGCCTTTTGACCTTACTTGGGCCTTTGGTCTTTACTGGGTCTATCAAGCGGTAATGGGCTGGAGCACCTTGACGAGCCTTTGCTCCTTATTGGGCCATCTGGCTGGCCATGGCCGGATCAACAAGTCCCCCACTCGGGGATAGGCTCGCAATTGAAGGCGAGCAACCGCGAGTCTATCTCTCGCGAGAGACAGTCTACGCTCCATCTATCCGCTCGCCTCATCCGCATGCTCACTGCCCTTGTTTCGAACAGTGTGTTCCGCTTCATATTTCTCCGGAATAAATGTACATAACAAATTGGGGTTAATTGACCGGCTAAACTCTTCGTTTTATTATTATTAAAAGCTTTTCTCTTTTTTTTTTTTTTTTTTTTTTTTTTTAA